TCAAATGGAGTTAGACTGCTAGTAAAAACAAACAAACAAAAAAACAACTGGTGGCAATGAGTGTAGTTCTGATTCTCTTACCTTATTGTCAGACATATGTAACATTTGTGCCTCTCTTCTGCCTGACTTTTGTTTTAAAATTAACATTTTTTTTTCATTCTGGTAAAATATGCAGAAAATGAAATTTACCATTTTAACCATGTCTCTCTTCCATTTATTTATTTATTTATATATACATACACATTTTTTTTTTTTTTTTTTTTTTTTTTTTTTTTTTTGAGCAACTAGCCAGTACAGGGATTGAACTCTGTACCTTGGTATTATCAGCACCACGCTCTAACTGAGCTAACTAGCCAGCCCATTTTAACCATTTTTAAGTGGATGGTCCTGTGGCATAAGTACATTCACATTGTTGTACAACCGTTATTACCATTCAACTCCAGAACTTTTTTATTTTCCCAAACTGAAATTATGTACACATTAAACAGTTAACTCCTTATTTCCACCTTGCCCCAGCCCCTGACAACCACCATTCTACCCTTACAACCACCATTCTCCTTCTCTTTCTATGAATTTGACTACTTTAGGTACCTTATATAAGTGGAATCATATAGTATTTGTCCCTTCATAACTGGCTTATTTCTCTCAGCATAATGTCTTCAAGGCTCGTCCATGTTATAGCATGTGTCCAAATTTGCTTCCTTTTTAAGGCTGAGTAATATTTCATTGTGTTTATACTATGTTTTGTTTATCCATTAATAACATCTTTTTAAAAGGGCTTGAGCTTTGAAAATAGGTTTTATTAATCAAGTTACTATCATGTTATAGTAGTCTGACAAAGGAAAATAAATATGACATTGAAATACTTCCAAAGTAAATATGAAACTCATGACCTAATGAAATGTCATCCAGATCCCTTTTCTTTTGGAATGACTTGAGCAGAATTCATATTGTACATCCTATGTACAATATATCTAATTTAATGACTTTTTTTTACTGTTTATCTGGCAGTTTTGGCATGCATAAATACAAATTTTTAAAAATCATTCTTTATTTATTAGGACTAATAATAACTTATTTATTAAACACTCTTTGTCAGGAGCTGAACATATATTATCTTACTTACTGTATATGGCAGCCACATGATGCAGGTCATATAATACCCATTTCACAGATGCAAAAATTGAAGTTTAGGAAGGTTAAGAAATTTACCTAAGTTATCTATAAATGGTAATTGGCAGAGTCAGAATTTGAATCCACATCTTTAGAACACCAACTTTACTCTTAATTGCTCTGGTACACTGCCTCCTTAAACTGATTACACTTATTGAAGGCTGGGTGATGTTTCCATTATCTGAGTCACAAATAATGGCAAACTTTAATATATAAATTGCATTTTATTTCTTCCACAAACATTTTTGATATGTCATTTTCAGGACTTGGGGGTAGACAGGTAAATAAAGCATGAATAAAACACAACTTGTACATTCTAGGAACTGTCCCAGTCTAGTGGGGATCATGTAAACACATATACTACAACCTTACTGAAGTAAATAATAATTAAACATGCTCAGCTCTCTAGGACTTAATTGCCTGTCAATGGTTTTTTACCTACACAGGATTTAATGTAAGGATTTTCACCCTGGTAAATCATGGGTTATTTTATAGGGGATCAAAATTAATTTAAATTCACTTTAATTTTAAAAATAAAATGTATGTCTCATATTTCTTTGGAGGTAGGCTGATGAAATAATTAGTGAATAATGCACTACTTTCACCCCTCACCCCATTTTACTCTCTAGATACTGCAAGAGGAAAATGAAAAGTTTACTGGGGATGCTCTATTATCAAAATATGATGCTCTCAAGATTATGAAACATTTACAGGAAAACTGGCTAGATATTGGACTTGGGATGTTTGTTCGCCATAAAAGTATAGAGGGGAAGATGCCAACAGAGCACCAATACATGGAGGAAATTATCAAAAGCATAAGAAAACTCTACAAAGAATATGAAATAAGAATAAATGGGGACAATGGTAAGAAAAAAAAACAATGATAATTAGGTTTCATGGCATTATAAAACATTTCAACAGAAATTATTTTTGATACAATTAATATTTAAAATAAAGTTAATATATGCATATAGTTTTTAAATCAAGCAAAATAAAAAAGCATTAAGCATGGCTTTGTTGATATATAATTTATATACAATTCACCTATTTAAAGTGTGTAATTCAGTGATTTTAAGTATATTCACAGATGTGTGCATCCATTACCACAGTCAATTTTAGAACGTTTTCTTCAAAAGAAACCATGTACCCTTTAGCTCTCAACCTCTTATCCACTCTTTGGCTTTATTTGAATAATGCTGATATCAACATTCATGTACACATTTCTGTGTGGGTGTATGTTTTCATTTCTCCTGGGTATATACATAAGAGTGAAATTCCTGGTCATTTGGTAACTCTATCTTTAACTTTTGATGACTGCCACACTGTTTTCAAAGAGGCTACATCATTTTATATTCCCACCAGCAGTGTATGAGTGTTCCAATTTTTTTACATCCTTGCTAAGACTTGTCTCACTTTTTAATTCTAGCCATACTAGTGGGTGTGAAATAATATCTCATTGTGATTTTTATTTGTGTTTTTCTGTTGATTAATGATGTCATTTTTGTTTCATTTTTTAAATTTTATTTATTTTTTTACAATCTAAGATGTCATTGTGGAGCAGTCGGCGGGGAGAGCGAGAGGGGAAGAGGGAAAGAAATAGAGTGGGGGCTTTGTTGAGGCCCATGGCTCCCCCCTCATTCTGGCAGGGCTTGGTGGTCATTCCTGGGCTGGTTGTAGATGTTGGGAGAGCATGGCTTAGGTCCTTGGCCCCCCACCTCCCCAGCTGGGACCCAGTGTGCTTCCTGTGGCGGCTTGGTGGTTGTTGCTGGGCTGGCTGTGAATGTCAGGGGAGCATGGCTGAGGCCCTGGTCCCCCACTGCTCTGGCTTGGGAGCCTGGGTTGCTTCCTGTGGAAGCTCAGTGGTCATCTCTGGGCTGGTTCAAGGGGAACACTGGGGCACAACATGGACAGGTGATCTGCCCCCCAGTCAGCACAGGACCACTCAGTGGAGACTGGTCAGGAATATAGAGCTGCAGGGCGCGCAGTTTGCTGAAAAGACTCAGGTCCAGACCAGAGTTTCCACACAACCCAGGTGTACCAGACCTCAAAAGACCCAGAAGTACATACAAGGTTAACAATTAAAACCTAGGCTGCACAAAAAGCTTTCCCCAGGGAATCAACAGCAAAGCAGCAATTTAGCTCAACTACTGGGCTCAAATGCTGGTCCCCACAGGAAGATCCCCAATTTTAGAAGTAAGAAAGGGACAACAAATTAGTTCCAGTGCAGAGTTTAAGTGGTGGGAACAGCAAATAATCCAACACAGAACTGAAAAAAAACAAAATATGCACAGATCAGAGACAAAGTTTGATATCAACTAGTAAAGGTCTAACACCACCAAAGAACACCTATAAAACCTAGATAGACTTGAAGCCCCTGGGCTCCCAAGCCAGGGACAGGGGAGGGCTGTGGGCCTCAGTCATGCCCCCCCAATGACCATACTCAGCCCAGCTACAACCACTGAGCCACTGCAGGAAATGCCCTGGGCTCCTGAGCTGGGGCAGTGGGGTGCCAAGGGCCTCAGCCATGCCACCCTGACATCTGCAACCAGCCCAGCGACAACCACCAAGCTGCCACAGGAAGCAACCCGGGCTCCCGAGCCAGAGCAGTGGGGGACCAGGGCCTCAGACATGCTCCCCTGACAGCCTCCACGTAATTTTATATGAAGGGCACAGCTGCGGCTTTTGTCAGCTCTTGCTCCATGTGTTCACCAGCTCCAGCCTGGAAGCAGCCGGTGCTCAAAATGGTGAGAGCAATCCTTTCTGTATGTCACCATGGCTTCTCCTGCTTTCATGAACTCCTCAGGTCTCTCCTCCTCTTCCCCTGAGCTCTAACAGCCCCAGCTTGGCTGTTGTTGCTTTTTTTTTTTTTTTTTTGTCTTTTGTCTTTTTTTCCGTGTCTGGCAACGGATCGCAACCCTCAGTGTTGCCCCCGTACCGGACCGGGGACCGGCAACGGGATTGCAAACCTCGGCGTTGCTCCCGCGCCTCGCTCAGCCAGTGAGCGGGAACCGGTCCGTATGTGGGATCTGAACCCTCGGGCGGGAGTGCTGCCGCGCTTCCCAAGCAGTGCACTATCCAGTGCGCCACTGGGCCGGCCCCAAAACACTACTGATTTTTATATACTGATGTTGTATTCTGCAGTGTTACTGAATTTG